AGGTGGTGGTGATGGTGATGTGGTGATGTGTATTCCAATTTACCACATCAGGGATGTATAATCATTGATCACCTGGGTATGCTGTGGACCCCCAGCTCTCTCCACTGTAAAGAGAAATTTTCTCTTTGGTGATTTCCACATTATCTGCAGGTGATTCTTCAGCCCAATGTGACATTTTGTTCTTCAATAACCTTCCACACAATGTTTCTATTGACAGGTAATCTTTGCCCAAATCACGTATGTCATTGGGGGCTGCAAAGCAGTGATTTACAATTCCAATTCCAATTGTTTCTCTTATTTTTCAATCTTTTAATCAGCACTTATTAGTTACACATGATAATGGGTTTCATTATTGCATTGTCATACACACATGTAATGTATTTTCACACCCCGTACCCTCTCTTGTCCTTCGCCTACTGCTGATTCCTTTTCTCCACCCATCCTCATTCTACATTAATTAATTAATTAATTAATGATTAATTTATTTAGTGACCCAATGCATTTTATAAGGGTTACTACAGGAACACGGGTGAGAGTTTTTTTTAAAAAAATGTTTTATTTATTTTATATGTATGAGTATTATACCTGCATGTGTATAAGTGCACCCATGTTGTGCAATGCCTTCAGAGGTCAGAAGAAGGCCTCAGATTCCCCTGGAACTGGAGTTACAGACAGTTGTTAGTCACCTTGTTTCAGAAGAAGGCATCAGATTCCCCTGGAACTGGAGTTACAGACAGTTGTTAGTCACCTTGTAGGTGCTGGGAATCGAACCCAGGTTCTCTGTAAGAGCAGTCAGTGCTCTTAACCACTGAGCCATCTCTCCAGCCCCAGGTGAGAGTTTTTTACAGGACCATAGGCAGTTTACCGATGACCACACTCCTAAAGAAAATGTCTCTCTCTTCCCCAGCGTGCCTTAACTGCCTGTAGATCTTCAATAAGGAATAGGGGTTCGTAGGTCCCTCCCTCTCCTTGGCAGGACATAGGCAGGGCCCAATTAGTGATAAATTGCCAATAATCACCATTTAGGACCACCTTGGTCAGACCAGGGATATGACAAGAAAGCTCTTATATACTTCACCTGGAAGCTTCTTCAGGGACGAGAGAATGTGTAACGTCAAAATCTTGGAGCATCTCACAGCCACGGTGGATTGCTTTGGATTCTAGCTCCAGGTAGCAAAAGCTTAGTAGGAGTGGGAGAGAACTGCTGTGGATTTGTAACTTGGCCCAGGTAGTCTTTTATTATTTAATTTATCTTTATTAAAAAAATTTAAAAATCTGATTTATTATTTTTATTTTATGTGTATGAGTATATTGCCTGCATGTGTTTAAGTGCACTTGTGTTGTGCAATGTCCACGAAAGTCAGAAGAGGGCGTTGGAGCCCCTGGAACTGGAATTATAGATAGTTGTTAGCCACCATATGGGTGTCAGGAATAGGTCCTCTGCAAGAGCAGCCAGTGCTCTTAATCCCTGAGTCATCTCTCCAGATCCTGCCCTGCTCAGGTAGTCTTTATCACCCAGTGCCAAAGAAGAAAGGGGCACTGGCCAAGCCAGGGGCTGTCACTGCCTGGAAAAAGGAGCTCCCTTTTCTAATCTGCACAAAGGTGCCCCATGGACGAGCAGAAACCCTACCTGAGCAAAGTCTCTCCATTCTGAAACTGCTCCAGGTTCAAGGGTCAGTGACTATTATCTCTTAATAAGAAAAAGCTGCCTCTTCCTAACAGAAATCTCCAGTCGTGGTTATTAGCCTAGGTGTGCCCTGAAATATAGAAATAATTATATTTCTCTTCCCAGCTCAGGGTTACCCCAGTTTTCTGTTCCTGTTCTTAGGAGAGCCTTTTGCCCTTGACTCTTTTCCTTTCTCCACTTTGACCTCAGGGTCTAGGCAAGCCTCAGGCTATGTTTAGTAATGAGCTTTGATGCCAGGACCCTAACTCTCTGGCCTCTTCTCTCCCCCTTCCTCCTTCCTCCCTGGGTCTGTAAGAAGGGCCTACCTGAGCTGGTGAGGTGAGCTGTCCAGGGAGCCATGGGGTTGGGGGTGACATGAAAGGAAAGGGAAGAACAAATAGAAGCAGATGTTCCTGCAGCCCAGGCCCAGCCTAGGGAACAGCAGGAAATGGATGGCAGCCAATAAGGAGTGTCTCCAACCCTGGACTTCGGGATCCAGAAGCTGGCTTGGGCTTCTTGGTCCTCACCTCTCCACAGTGACCTGATTCCCTTCCCAGTGACTGGCCAGAGGTGCATTCTTCCCTTTTCTTCTTACAGGGCTACAAATCAAATGTAGCCACCCTCTGACTATCTGCACCAAAGAGCACCCTGCATTTTATGGGTGTGCATAAACAACTACCAGGTAGAGTGTAGTAGGTACAAAACAACATTCGTCACAGGGAAACATGGGGTCTTCCCCCATCTCCCCCTTGCAGGTTCTTAAGTGTCACAGATAAAAGAATTTAAAAATGGACACAGAAGGGACTCCCAAGATAGGAGAGTTAGGGAGGGAGAGCAAACAAAGGGGCAGGCAAGTTTGGAATCCCTGCAGCTGCCTGGAGGAAGGAGACAGAGGGGAGGGAAAAGGGAAAGTTACTCTGAGTTACAAGTCAGAAAAGGCTCAGCAAAGAGATCTTCAAACAACTGTGTTGAAAGAAGGCTTTGGGGCGTATAGGTGCTTATCTCGTTAAAGGGAAGGTTCCTTGCTGTTTATTTCATCCTCAAGTGCAGAAGCAGGAAGATCAGGAGTTCATGGCCATTCTTAGTTTGGGGCTACATAAGGCCCTGTCTCAGGTCTGGCATGGTGGCACATGCTTTTAATCCCAGCATTCAGAGACAGAGGCAGGCAAATCTTTATGAGTTTGAGGCCAGCCAGGCCTACATAGTGAGACCCTGTCTCAAAACAAAAGCAAAAGAATTATTGTGGGTTCCACACTGGGTTACTATTTGTAATGTTCAGTCCTTCCTTATTATAGTCAGATGAAACTGGGGATTGGGGGGAGAGCACTAGCTGTCACCTGCAGCGGCCTGAGGAGTTCCTCCCCTAAGGAGTCCCTCCCCTAGGGACCTCCTCTCAGGTAAAGCCATATCCTTGACTTCACAGCAGCCAAGAATTTCAGGAAGAGCCAGCATGAAACAGAGTTGGAGTTTGTTATTTTATTTGAGACAGGGTCTCATATATCCCAGGCTGTCATTAAACTTCTCTGTAGCTGAAGGTCACCTTGAATTTCTGATCCTCCTGCCTCCACATCTCAAGTGCTGGGATTATAGGCATGTATCACTGTGTCTGGCTTTATCCAGTGCTAGAGTTTGAACCCAGGACTGTGTATATCTAGGCAAGCTCTCTACCAAGTGAGCTACAGCCCCAGCCCCACAGTTAATTTTAAAAATTTATTATTCATAATTTTATGTGTATGAGTGTTATGCCTGCAGGTATGTAAGGGTACCTGTGTCATGCAGTGCCCATGGAGGACAGAAGAGGGCGTGGCAGACAAGTTGTCAGTCACCATGTAGGTGCTGGGATTCAAACCTGGGTCTTCTGCAAGAACGCTAGTGTTCTTAACCACTGAGCAAGCTCTCCAATGCCTAAATTTTATTTATTTCATGTGTATGAATGTTTTGCCTGTATGTTTATAAGTGCACCATATTCATGCAGTGCCAGGGGAGGCCAGAAGAGGGCATTGGATCCCCTGGAACTGGAGTTATAGGTGGTTGTTAGCTACCATGTTGATGCTGGAAACTGAACCATGGTCCTCTGCAAGAGCAGCCAGTGCTTTTAACTGCTAAGCCATCTTTCCAGCCTCACAGAGTTTATTAAAAGACATTTTTTTGGGGGGGAGGTCTTTTTGAGACACAGTCTCCCTATAGCCCTAGCTGACTTGAAACTCACTATGTAGACCAGGCTGACCTTGAACTCACAGAGATCCACCTTCTTCTGCCTCCTGAGTGCTGGGATTAAAGGTATGTGCCACCACACCCAGCATTAAAAACATTAAAAAAATATTTTATATGTTTGAGTGTATTCCGTGCATGTATGTAAGTGTACCTGTGTCGTGTGATGCCTGAAGAGATCAGAAGAGGGCATCAGATTCCCCTGGAACTGCAATTATGGACTGTTGTCGGCTGCCATGTGGGTGCTGGAAATCGAACCTGGGTCCTCTGCAAGAGCAGTCAGTGCTCTTAACCACTGAGCCATTTTGTCAGCCTCACAGAATTTATTTAAAAATGTTTTTAAAGATTTATTTTTAATTATGTGTATGTATGTGGGTATGTGCATGTGAGTGCAGGTGCCTGAGAAACCAGAAGCATTGGATTCCCTGGAACTGGAGTTACAAATGGTTGTGAGCTGCCTGAAATATGTGCTAGGAACGAAACTGGAAACATCTGCAAGAGTAGTACTGCTTTTACCCTCTGAGTCATCTCTCCTGGGCTGGAATTCTTGATTCTCAACTGGCATGAGGCTTAAACCAGACTCTGGAGTGAGAAACTCCTTTCCTCCCCACATACCCAGATTTTCCTTGTCTTTTCCTGTCTTAAAGCCTAGGTGTCAACTTCGCATCCTGTAAGTAGTCTACAGTCCCAGAAGTCAAGCTAGAGGAAACAGAAGCCTGGGTCCCACTGCCTTTAACTTCAGGGGTGTCCCTGGCAGGGGTTGCTTGTACCTGCTGGTTTGTTTCTTCCAGCCTAGGTCGCCCACCTTCTCTGGATGATCCTGGCCATAGATCCTCCCCTAACCTATGGCCTAGGAATGGGAGCGACCTCCTGCTGGTGTTAGTCTTGAGGTCATCTTGACCCTCTTTGGGAGTTTTGGTTGTTCTGTCCTGGCTAGCTTGATTTTCTAAAAGTGGGACTTGTAGACCTCCTTGGAAGGATGCCCAAAAAAGCCAACAGGAGGACGGAGATTTGGGTGCAAAATGTTGATTGTGGAAACGGGCTGGGTACTAAGTAGCAGCTTAGAGGGGAAGGGAAGCAGGATGTGGCAGAGAGAGAAGTTGAAATGAAATGCAGTTACAGTGTTTGCTTCAGCCGTGCATGTACTACATTGAGTGATGCAGAGAAGGTTAGCATGGCCCCTGTGCGAGGATAACATACAAATTTGTAAAGCTTTCTATATATGTACATATATATCTGAATATGTGTTTTGGGGGAATGGTCTTTTTTGAGACAGGGTCTCTCTGTAACCCCAGCAGGGCTGAACTTGCTATGTAGACCAGTCTGGCCTTGAACTCACAGAGATCCGCCTGCCTCTGCCTTCTGAGTGCTGGGGTTAAAGGCCCGTGCCACCATACCCAGCCAATGTACCATATTTTCTAGTATGTCTGTTATTTTATTTTTCCTTTTTCTTTTCTTTTCATCCTTTTGAGTCTCCCTGTAACTCCAGCTGGCCTGGAACTCTATGTAGACCAGGCTGGCCTCGAATAGATTCACCTGCCTCTGCCTTGCAAGTGCTGGGATTAAAGGCATGCACCACCATGCCCGGTTCCATATTTTTTTTTTTAAAGAAAGAAAAAATGAAAAAAAAATGCAGTTGTGACAAAATCTTTGTTCTTAGCAGTATACAGTTTCAAGCTTATCATCCCAGTACTCTGGAGGCTGATGTAGGAGGATTACCCATGAGTTTGATGTCAGCCCAGCTTGGCTACAGTGTGAGATTGTCTAAAACGAAAGTATTTTTAAAAAACCCACAAACAACAACAAACCTATCCTTCATGCCAAAAGAGTCCTGAAGCCAGTGTGGCCTGACTTGAGGCAGGGGTTGGTTTTTTTGGATCTGGCGCCTCATTCCCGGCCCACATACTTGATCTGGATTTGGGCTCCCTGGGCTGCAAAGAGAGCAAGCTTATCCTTAGCTGCTTCCTTCAGGCAGGGCAGGTCCTGGAGAGAGACTGGCTGTGAGTTACCATCAGTCCCCAAGGGGAACCTGTGTGGAAATCATAGGGTCCACCAGGATTCAAGCTGTGCTCTTTACCAGCTGTGTGACCTTGACCTAGTTCTGATCCTTACTTGGCATGCATTTCCAGTTCCTTCTCTGTACACTGGGAGAGTATGAGACCTACCTGAAACTTTGTTCCTGTAGAGGACAGGAGGTTCGTCACACCCTCACCTGGGTTGGCTTCCCTCCCCAGCAGCAGCTGTTAAAGGCTTGATCAGGAAGCCCAGGTGTGGCCTGCTTGCCCACTTCCTGCTCCTAGGTTGTTGGACTTGGTTCTCTTGGCTCTTCTCCAGCTCTGGGGTCAGTACCAGGAAGCTGAACCAGGCGGTGGCCCTCTTCCCCTCCCTCTCCTTTCTCACTGGAGCCCTGGCAGGTTTCAGGTGGGGGGTGAGGCTCTGGATCCTGGGCTGTTAGCTTTTGTCCTGGTGCTAATTGCTTAGGAAACTTACAGGGAGGATGGAGTGGAAGAGCCATAGCAGAATCCAGACATTCATGGATTCCCTAAATCCCACCTACTTTCTCAGTGGTGGAAAAGCTGGAAATAGAGCTTTTCTATAGAAAAAGCAATAGAAGGCAGAGTGAGGTGTGGGGAGTAGGCTTCAAGGTCCTCTCTCTGGGCATACGGAAACATGGTAGTAATTGAAAAACACCTCACTTCTTGGCATACCCAACTTAGCAGACAGTGCCTTTGTGTGAGCTGGCAAAACTTACAGTCCCTTTCGGGGCTTAAGGTCCAGGGTCCTACCTGTTGAACCCACAGTTGGTCCTAATTAAAGGTTCAGTTTGATGCTACAGTGCTCCCACCCCTTTACTCAGCACACACCAACTCTAACGTGCAGCCTTGGATTCTGATTTGTGTGCCAGCTCTTGGTCTGCTCAGCTCATCTTTCCCCACAGTCAACATCTCTCTCTGCCTTAGATGTAGCTTTCTGTGATGGTGTTCATAGGATCCTGCAGTGGCCAGGGGGTCTAGAGAGAAAACGGATTGCTGTATAGGATTGTGAAGCCTATTTCTTTGGGGACAGAACCCCAGGCACAGGTACTCCAACCAGGCCAGTTTTTGCACCATATGTGTGTCCAGCCAGCCTCCTCTGCTTTGCCCAGAGCCCATGCCTAGCAACGCCATCTTCAAAGGCATAGCAACAGATGGCAACAGCGTACTATCCATGAGATGCGTCACTGGGTGTGAGTAGAGCAGAGGTCAGAGACCTGGCTGGATTTAGCCAGATTTGTTCTACCACCCAGTGTCTGTTCTCATGGCTTCTCCTGAAAAAATGGCTATCGCCACACAACAGGCCTACATCTCCTCATAGTCACATGTGTAGCGGGGGCAAGTGAAGTGTCCCCTGCAGCAGAGGCTTCAACCCTAGTCTAAAGAAAGAAGTAGCAAATTATATACTACAGAATCAGTGGATGTGTTTGACTCTTAGATCACCCATCAGCTGTGGTACAGAAAACAGGTTATTTCTAGGGGGCAGAAGAGATGACTCAATCGTTAAGAGCATTTGCTGGTTTTTCAGAGGACCTGAGTTCAGTTCTCAGCACTCACATCACACAGCTCACAACCATTTGTAACTCCAGCTCCAGGGGCTCTGATACCCCATTCTGGCCTCTACATGCATGCATGTACTCACATGCATGTACACACATACACACACACACACACACACACACACACACAAATAAATAAATACTTTTTTCTTTTTTTTCTTTTTTTTTTTTTTGAGACAGGGTCTCCCTGTCGCCCCAGCTGGCCTAGCACTTGTTATGTAGATGAGGTTGGCCTTGATCTCACAGAGCTCTTCCTGTCTCTGTCCAGAGTACTAGGATTAAAGGTGTGTGGTACCACACCCAGCTAAATAAATACATTTAAAAAAATTACTTCTCAGTGCCTTTGTTTCCTCATCTGTCAACAGGGATGGTATCAAACAATATTTCATTGTTATTTTGAATAGAATGAGTAAGCTCATGGTACATAATCAAAAATCAATAATGCCAGCTATTATAATGGCAACCCATGAGGTCCTAATGGGTAAACACATTTATGTCAGATTTCCATGAGCATCATTTTACTTTTTTGTAACTCCCAGCAATACAATGTAGCTAATCTAAGGAGAAAATACATTGGAGAAGTCAATCTTTCATGTATGAGGTTGATCGCTGTTCTAAGGTAATCTTCTTGACTGCCCAGGGGCTGAGAGGCAACCTGGGTACCCATCTTGCCCTGCTTAGAACTCTGCCCTGATAGGCCATAAAGTATGAACAGCAGGCCTGCCCTTGTCAGCAGCCTCAAAGATCAAATCCCATCTCCCTAGTATCCTCATCCCTCACTGAGTTATTAGCAAGCAACCAAGGTTTCCATGACTTTGTATTGCCAATATAATGCTAGCTTGGGGTAATGAGTTCTGTGAACTGGCCACCCACTGAGGAGGATTTTCTTTTATTATGCCCTCAACATAACTCACTCAGGCTTTAAGCAGAATGTTTAAGTATTTCTGGTTCAGGATTTGGTGAATGGGCTCATGATACCTGAACCACAACACTGGTTATTAACAGATGTTACACCATTTCAGCCTGCATCTGTCCAGATGGACAGAATCTTGACACATGACTATGCATTTTCATGGCAGTATCCCTGTTTCCTTCCCCTTTTTGGCAGGGGGTGGGGAGGTGGCTTATGGAGCCCAGGCTTTCCTTGAACTTGCTATGTAGCCAAGGATAACATTTAACTGATCTTCCTTCCTCTACCTCTTCAGTGCTGGGATTACAAGTGTGCACCATTCTGCCTGTTTATGTAACACTGAGGATTGAACCCAAGGCTTCATGCATGCTAGACTCTACCAACTAAGCTCTATTCTCAGCCCCCTACCCCTACCTCAATAACTTACCACTATGAGGCCTAGATGGGTTTTTTGCTTAAAAAAAATTACATTTGGGGTTGGGGATTTAGCTCAGTGGTAGAGCGCTTGCCTAACAAGCGCAAGGCCCTGGGTTCGGTCCTCAGCTCTGAAAAAAAAAAAAAATTACATTTATTTAATTTATTGGTGTGGAGGGGCACACATGTCATGGCATCCATGTGAAAGTTAGAGGACAACTTTCAGTTCTTTTTTTAAAAAAAAAATTATTATTTTTATGTGTATGAATGCATTGCCTGCATGTCTGTAGATGCAGCTGTTTTGTGCAATGCCCTCGGAGGTCAGAGGAGGGCATCAGATCCCCTGGAACTAGAGTTACAGATGCTTGTTGGCTGCCCTGTGGGTGCTGGGAATCAAATCTGCATCCTCTGCAAGAGCAGCCAGTGCTCTTAACCATTGAGTCATCTCTCCAGCCCCTGGTTCTGTCTTTCTATTATATGAGTCCTGGGATTGAATTTAGGTTGTCAAGCTTGGTGGCAAGTACCTTTATCCACAGAGCCATTGCCCATCTCCCCACCCCCACTCCTTGCTTTCAGATTTTTGGGACAGGGTCTTGCCCTATAGTTCAGTTTAGTGTGGAACTCATGGCAATCCCCTTGCCTCAGCCTCCAGAGTTCTGGGAGGTTACAGTTGTGAGCCATCAGACTCTGCTAGTTTTCATTTCTCTCTCTCTCTTTTTTTTATTTGCACGTGTCTTTAATCTCTATGTATCTGATGATTACTAGTCACAGTCATAACACTCTGATCCTTAGTACCTGAGTATGATATAAAGTCATCAGGTAGATTTCACTAGTAATGTTTATCACCTCTACTGTTTAACATGAAGTAAATTTGTATGCTTCCTCCTCAAATGTAAGTCCTTTTTTTTTTTAATTTGTTGATTTTTCTGTGTGTATATCATACAGAACATCCCACACAGTCTTATTCATCTATATACCCACTTCCCAAATGGCACCCTCCCATAGCCTCCCCCCTCCCAAATACTGGAGCCCACATTTTCTGTCATCCCTGTTACTGTCCTCTATGTTGTTGGCACCCCCAGCCATTCTCCAGTGCTTGTCTGTCTGCTAAATCTAGTCAGCCTGTCTAGAGATCTTTGTTTTAGGAAGATCAGCTGTTCCTCATCTAGCAGCAATCAGTTGTCAATATTCCTTTAGATAAGATTGGGGTCTGCTGTTCATTTTTGTTCTATGCTGGGTTATTGTCTGGGAGTCTCTTGTACAACTTTGGCCAATAACTCAAAGGAAAGTATCTCCTGTCTGGCATTGTT